CCCATTTTTTGATTGGGTTGTTTATCTTCCTTTTTTTTAAATGTGCTGAAAGGCTTAAATATCTTTGGAATAAATTGCTCTTTAAGATTTCATAGAATTTCTTTGTGTATGACTGAATCTGAAGAATTTGGAGGGGTAGTTCTTTCACAAGTTTCTCATTATCTTATATGAAATTAGTTTATATGTATTTTTTATGTCTTTGAAGTTGCTTTTTAGAAACTTTTACAAAAATATTCTTTACATGAAATTTATTTGTGTAAAATTAATAAAGTATTATGACACACTTTCTATTTTTATAGCTATTTATTTTCTATTATTCCTTCCATTATTTTTATTAAGATTAGTTAAAGCTTATTTATTGTTTTAGGTTTTGCTTTCTTTCCAAAATCTAAGGTTTTTGTATATAATATGTTTCTGATTTCTAACCTCATTAATGTCTTTATTTTTTCTTTTATTCTTTCTATTTTTAGTGATATCTTCTATTTATTTATTATTTTACTTCTGTCGTTAATATATTTAGGATTATGAATATACTCTCAGAAGTACTTATTCTGTATCTCATAGTTTCCATATACTTTTTTTTGCTAGAAATTTTGCAATTTTGTTGTACATTTTTATTTTTCTTTAATTTACATTTTATTAAAGAAAAGTTTGCTGTTGCCTGTTGTTGTGGTTAAGTTTCTAGGTTGAGGAATTTTGTTGTTTTCTGGGTCATTTTCATGAATTTTTAGTTATATTGTATCTAGAGAAGAACATTTTTGTCCATACTATTTTGGCACTTCTCTGTCAGAAGTTATTACAAACACAGTAATAGATTTCACTGAATTGAAATGGACTCTTCTCTCTTCAGCATCAGGCTGAGCAGGAGTATTACTTTCTAGATATTAGAACCTATTAAGAATAAAAATATCAGGTTGGCTGAGGTTTTTAATAGTAACATCCCTAATGAATATTCAGTTTTTGTAAATAGTTCATTAGAATTAGAAAACTATTTTTTTTCTTACAAAGTATGCTCATGGATTTGCCTATACGTATATTTATAATGTGTTGGGATGCCTTGCATATTGCTCTTTGTAGTTCATGGCCTCAAAACTTTACAATCCATGGCAAAGAACATTCTGATTCTTAGTCTGTCATGTAATGCCAGGCAAAGTAATGATGTCAAAAAATCAAATAAACACAATCCACTAAAAAAAGTGGTTATTTGGAATAGATATAGTATGGCTATAGTGAAACCCATTTTACTTTTCTCTTAAGATTAACTTGAGATTTTACAATATAATTTTAAAATTTACTATGTTTACTCATTGTCCATCTCAATGGATCATTTATTAAATGAAATCATATAATATAGAATATAATTTTTATATAATATAGAGTATAAAAATACAAGTACCTGGTTATAAAAATATTTAATAGCTATTATAGACAGGAATACATTTGTAGCATATATTCATGGAAATACTAATGCATTCACAGTAAATTAACCAGAATAAGGTCTTCCTACTTCTCAGACCTAGCAAATTTAAGAAAGAGATGGAATTGCCCTCTTTTATACCATAAGAAATAAGTGAAAAATAGAAAAGATAATCCAAAGAAGGATATTTGTGGCTGAAATATACCTGAAAATGTTGCACTACAAAGACAATACTTAAATTGAACTCTGAAAAACAAAATATTTTTTAACAAAGGAGGAAGGGGAAGTAGATTACCAAGACACATGAATGACAGCATGTTCTTGTGATACAATATAATACCACAGGATACTTCATTCTTTGTGTGCTTCCAGGTGAATTGGACAACATGCAACAAAGGAAGGCAGCTATATAACAGCATGATGTGGTCTGGAAACTATATTTAAAGGCTTGGTGCAAATGCAGGAAGAAGGGACGACAAGTAAAAAAGTAGATATTGAGGTATTATTGTAATTATTAGCCAGGCCAAACTTCAAGTGTATTTTGACCATATTTTATATATGTTTAATAACCACCTTGTAAAGTGCTTAAATAAGAAAACTGAAGGTTAAAAGACTTGATATAATGTCATCTATTGCTTTAATGACAGGACCAAAGTTATATTTCATCTGACAGTAAGAACATGTTTTCCATCACCCTTCATTGATATGGAGACAAATTCAAGATTTTTTGGTTTAAATCAGTAAGCATCTATATGCAATTAAATAGGTTTAAAAGGAAAAGTGATACTACAAACGATATTGTTGATATTCATTAAGAGCAAATAGGGTTGGAACCTTGAATTGAAAAAAAAAATGGAACAACTTTATAAAGAGTGCAAATTGGTATAAAAAGCCCAAGAAGAGATTTGGAGACAGACTGCTAAGAAGAAGCACATCCCTAGCTAGAGGTTGATGTCAGAGGAAAAAGTGCACCAACTTGCATTCATCCTTATCAATTTTCCCCCTTTCCGCCCAGTCAGGCTCCATTAAACAATGAATGAAAGTTATCAAACTGTATTTACAAGGTGCCATACCATGGACTGCTGAATTTAACTTGGCAATTTTCTGATGAAGAAATGATATGGACAGGAATGTGCAGAGCTTCTGCAAGCTGATTTATCGAGCACAGCTGATTTTGATCTTTGGGAAGATTAGCTGCTCTGCCTTGCTGGCTAACGTGAGCTGCTTTAGAGATTAAATAAGGAACAGACTTTGACAGACTTGTATCCATTTCTTGCCATCTGAATCAGTACCTCTTAAAGGTTAAAACCCACTGAGTTATATCGTTTAGGTTTTAAATCTCTATGCTTTACAACATAAAACATAGCAATAAAGTAACTCTGAGATTGATAATGCTAATCCGAAAGATATGATTATTTTACACAGACCAGTGATGACTACTGCTTTATAGGTACTTACACACTTTAAGTTCTACTTTGTAGGCCCCTGTGTAGCATTCAGAAAAAAACACACAAAAACTTAATCTTGAATTTTAAATCAATATAAAATTGTGATTACTAGAAGAATTAATGAGATTTTATATAGAGCAAATAGAAAAGTATACACAAAACAAAAACAGATAGACAGATGATAGATAGATAGATAGATAGATAGATAGATAGATAGATAGATAATTAAATTCACATTAATATCTACAATAGCACATGAGGGTGAAATTTCTCAGCCTGTGTTCTGAACATATTCTACTGCAGAATAATCTGGAGTGTTTGTTAAACATCTTGGTCAGTACATAGCTCAGTTGGTTGGAGCACTGTCCTGTACACCAAAAGATTGCAGGTTTGATTTCTGATCAGGGCAAATACCCAGGTTTTAGGTGCATATGTGAGGAAACTGATCAATGTTTCTCTCTCCTCCTCTCCCTTCTTTCTCTCTAAAGTCAATGAAAGAATATGTCCTCCAGTGAGGACTAAAAAAAATTTAAAAAGCCAATTCCTTGGCCCCACCCACTCCAGTCTTTCAGAATCAAAATATGCAATAATTAAAGTCCAGGGATCTGAACAAGTAGATTTTTAAGTTGAAGTCATTAAACATTTAAAGAATGAGATACACTTCACTAGGCGTTACATTTAAATTGATTTTTGTAATTTTATTAGCTCCACTTCTTTTTTATAAGGACCTGAGCCTTATGTACTCTTAAAAGCAAAAAGCAATTGATTCAATCCAATGACAAATCTTAAGAATAAAAAAGAATGGGGAATAAGGTTAATGGTTTCACCAAAGCTATTTTGATGGCTCCATGATCATCAAGTATAAACTTATATCCTAAGGAGTGTTGGGTAATGTGGTAAAGATTTTTACATTACTGTAGTTTAGGAAAGTCACTTAGTTACAACATAGAGTAATGATATTAATATAACTGACATTGATAAGAAATCTGTTATCATAGAACAGTGGTTCTCAACCTTGGCTGCACATTAGAATCACCTGGGAATCTTTTTTAAATCCTGATTACTGGGCCTCATCCTCCGGAAATTCTGTTGCTTTGTTATGGGGTGAGGCCACTACATTAGTAACAAAGAAACAGAATTTCCTGAGGATGAGGCCCAGAAATCAGGATTTTTAAAAGTTTCCCAGGTGATTCTAATGTGCAGCCAAGGTTGAGAACCACTGTCTTAGAACAAAGATGAGGGGGGACATTCCTGGTGTATTCAACATAATGTTTTCTCAACATACAAGATATAATTTCTAAAAGAGTATCCAAAGAGCCAGTCACAATGTTGCATAACTAAAATGTAATTACATTTTCAAGAGGAAATATTTTATCATCTTAATGACCTGACAATATGGATGATTCATACCCCTGCTAAATTTTCATTCATGGAAAAATGAGCCAGTTGCCTAAATCACTGACATGATATTCATTTTACCTTCTTTAAGGAAAGGATCCCTTCTCTGGTCTCTTTGTCAGTAGAGATGGAGAATATCCCGATACCGTCACCGTTAATGATGGAGTACGTCATGTCAGCGTTTGAGCCAGTGTCTGCATCATTTGCCTTGATTTTCCCAACGGCTGAACCAACTTGAGCTGACTCAGGAACATACAGCTGATAGTGCTCTGAAAAATATTTTATATTAAACATTTCAATGATAATAAATTTATTTTACAAGAAAATGCATTAAAATATTAAGAAAAATATTTAAATGGACATAAAATTAAGTTGTTTTCAAGTTTTAAATTTCAGTATACCACTTAGTAATGAAATACTAGACTTACACAAACTTTAACTTGTATGCAAAGTAGCCTACATATGAAGAATTTGTAGATATCTGAATTAAAATATTTTATCAACTCTACACCCATAAACAACAGAAAAAGAAATGAGGGAGGTCAAGTTTGCGTTTTTACGTTGAGCAAAACTGTAGTGCAATCTCCATTTCTGCTCCAGATAATATGTGAAATTTAAAGTGAAAACAGAAAAAAGAATATAGCCTACATGTGAATGTGATTTTTACTTTGATCAATCAACTTAAGTTGGTGAAAACTATGGCAAATAAATACAGTGTTTTTTTGTTTTTTTTTTTTAAATATTTAAGTCATTTATTGCCGTTAAGTCACAGCATTTCAGTATACACACTGCATGGAAACGGACACTTTTCAGACCCTGGGGTGAGATCTGAAGGGTGTAGCTGGGGTTGTCTCATGGTCATTACAGAACAAGGCAAGAGTTCTGAGCACTCGGGTCTGAGAGTCACAGGCTTTGTTCTCTTCCGTTGCGCGTTCAGTAAACTCTAACAGATAACAACACGGCCTCAGAGAAAGCATGGCTGGGAAGCAGGGAATGACTGCCTGTGAGGACTGGTTGGGGGAGGAGAGTAGTCAGTACTTGGGAGGCAGCCGGGGCGGGTCAGGGGCTCAGGGGCTCTCGCTGTGGGTGGAAATGGTTGGGTTAGTAAAACGGCACTCAGCGGGTCTTCCTCAGCAGGGCATCCTGGTGACTGAGCCAGAGGCCCAGGAGCAGGCAGCGCCTCCCTGCCCGGTCACGCTGCTGCCTTCTTATTCATGTTGGATTTGATGAGCCGCCCGCCCTGGATGAGCTGGGCCACCTTGTTGGTGGCCTGGCACACGAACAGGAGCCAGTAGCGAGGCTGCACCTTGTAGGCAAATCTCATGAACCTCAGAGAGTAACAGCAGAGGGCGAACATCATCCGCCCACTGATAATCTCCGGAGACTTTTTCATGTCATTGATGGCGGCGATGGGGAGACCCCAGTTGGCTACTGGGCCCCAGAAGTGCAAGCTGCCTGGGCTGCCGGCGCCATCTTGGCTGTCAGTTAATTTGCATATCTCCCTGATTAGCCAATGGGAAGGGTAGAGGTCGTACGCTAATTACCATGTTTCTCTTTTATTAGTGTAGATTTACCACGTATTTTTGGTCAGCTTCTAAAAATAATTTAAAGTAATTTTATAATAAAGTAAAAATAAAAAAGGAAATTGAATAGGGAGCCCAGAAGTAAATCCCTACATATAAAGCCAACTGATCTTTGATGAGGGTGCCAGCAGACAACAATATAGAAAGAATAATTTTTTCATCAAATGGTATTGGGAAAATAAGATATTCACATATAAAAAATAAAATTGGACCTTTGCCTTACATTATATGCAAAAATCATCTCAAAATGAATTAACAACTGAAAATGTAAATTCCTAGAAGAAAACATAGGGGGAAATCTTCTTGATATTGGTTGTAGCAACAATTTTTTGGCTATAACATCAAAAGCACAGGAAAACCAAAGCAAAAATAGATCAGAAGGACTACACCAAACTAAAATACTTCTGCACAGCAAAGGAGAGAATCAGCAAAATTAAAAAGACAACCTACACGATGGAACAAATATTTTAAAATCATTAATAAAATAACAGCTTAATATCCAGAAATTAAGGAACTTATACAACTCAACACTAAAAGAACAGTTTGATCAAAAATGGGGAGAGGAACTGAATAGATATTTTTCAAAAGAAGACATGAAAATATGTTCACCATCACTAATCATCAGAAAAATGCAAATCAAAATAACAATAAGATATCATCTCACATCTGCCAGAATGGTTATTACTAAAAAAGACAAATATAACAAATATTGGCGAGATCTGAAGAAAAGGAAATCCTTGTGCATTGTTTGTGGAAATGTAAGTTGGTTCAGCCACAACGCAAAACAGTATGGAGGTTTCTCAAAAAAGCAAAAATAGAACTACCACATAATCAGTAATCTCACTTTTGAGTATATCTGAAAGAATTGAAATTAAGACCTCACAGAGAAGTTGGTATTCCCATGTTCATTGCAGCAGTATTCACACTGGCCAAGATATAGAAATAACCCATATCCTCAATAGATAAAGGAATAAAGATAATGAAAAAGATTCTCTCTAATAAGATAAAAAATACAAAAATTTTGTAAAATACAGCCTCTGAGTGCTTATTATATAAGTCATAGAGGTAATATTCTAGCTAGAGAATTACAGGATTAATAGAAGTGGAAATTGAAAACAGAGACACTATGATAAATGTAAATGAACTCAATGAGTTTAAGATGTCTCTGATAACAAAGATTATTAAAATATAAAAATAGAACCTGCTAGGGAAGAAAGCATATTCTAAAGAGCTTAGCATGTGTTTAATGCTTAAACATTTGTGTTTAACATAAATATAATACCTTTGTAACCCTAAACACCAATATAATTCATTTATGCCCTAACACATTTTAGTATACTGTGCTTAACAATGGAAGAAAACACATAAAATTATCCTAAAATAACAAATTATATCAAACTTACTCTACATACTAATTCTAACAAAAACAACGTGCCAGTACTAACCGTGAAGGTATATAAATACTGTATAGAGTTACCCTTAAAAATTCTGACACCTGAGAAACAACAGTCCACAAATAATTAGGTATTACGATCTTTGAATTATAATGGTAATACATAAACTTTCATTTACCTGTTAATTTATGAGAATTAGAATTTTCTATGGGAGTGAAAAACACAGGGGAGAAACTTTATAGGGTATAATAAAAATGAATTTAGAAATCTTTGACTAAAAGCCTGAAGTTTTGCCATGGCCATTAATTCATTCACATAGAAAAAGTCAGCTTGCTATTCAGGAAAAAAAATGCACTTTTATCTAAATAAGATTAATAAAGGTCATAAATCATAGAATATTAATATACATGTTGAATAATCTTTTGCTTTTCCATAATATATTTACTCTATAATTACTCTCTGGGAAAAACAAACACACAAACAAAAAACAACACCCATCTAAATAATTTTATGCTACAGTTCAGTGAGCATTTCTTCTGTTGCCAAAAGAATCCTCAGAGTACGCTGAGTTCACAAGAAGGTTATGTAGCCTGGCCCGTGGAGCAGCTCAGTGGTTGAGCATTGACCCATGCACCATGAAGTTGCTGGTTCAATTCCCCATTAGGGCACATGTCCGGGCTGCAGGTTTGGAGTGGACAAGGGGTGCAATGGATGTTGATGTTTCTCTCTCATCAATGTTCCTATCTCTCCCTCTCCCTTCCTCTCATTCTAAAATCAATAGAAAAATATATTTTAAAAAGTTATATACTGTGCTATACCATCTTCAAGAGGGTTAACGTGAATTTAAAAAACCACATAGACAGACGGCAATTTCACACACACACACAAACATATATACCCATGCATATTGTTTATACAAGCATATATTATATGTATGTACTGTATAGTATCTCCACTTATGTATTTGCTTGAGACGGAGAAAAAGAGAAGTAGGCAAATAGAGAGACAAAGAGATCATTCATTCAATTTTCAGAAATACATTTTACAATTGGGTTTGTGAGAACAATTCTTAATTCTCCCTCTTGAAATTAATGATTAAGGTTTCCTTGTTCCCTCCCTTTTCTTAAAGCATTTACTAGAGAAAAGAGTTATTATTTTAACAGTTATCAATAATGGAAAGATATTATGAAGCAGTGAAGAATCACTGGAAAAGATCCTTTATAGTAAAATAAATTGTTCTTTTGTTGAAGGCTGAAAAAGATAACGATTTGATGTAAATTTATATGATACAAAGACCCCTCTCAAACCAACCAAAGTGTCCATATGTGCATCACTGTATATTGTAAGATGGGTATATATTTTTCAGAGAAGAAAAGTACAATTAGTCAGCTGATTTGCTCCATTTTCTGCATCCATAGTTAAGGTTTATTTTGGTGTTTTATAATAAACAAAAATCATCAGATGTGTTTAGTTTTAGATGGTGTTTTCATATTTAAATATAAAGTGATAACTGAGTCTGAGTTCTGAATCCTTTTTTTTAGTCATAAAAGTTCTCTTTCAAAATTTTTATTTTATTTTTTGTTTATAAAGGAAAGTTTACATTTCACAGTTTTCTTCTCTGATCACTCCACCTATAATATACTAACTTGCTTATTATATAGAGATTTTTCTCTACTTTCATTTTTCTTTCATTGTTTCTATATTATTATTTATTCTTTTGTTGTTTATTGCTTGCATGACTTGTGTTAATTATTTTCACTCCTCCTAATTTATTTCTATATAGTCTTTTCACATCATTATGTCTTTTTAAAAAATCATTTCAACACAAATGTATGTATGGCAGAAACTTCAATCTTTCTCTTTAATTTCTTTCCACCACCATATTCCATTGGTCAAACAAAGTCATTGGTCAAGCCCAAAGTTAAAGTAGCAGGGACATATACACCACCTACAGAAAAGCATGATAAGAGAGTGAAAGGACAAGCAATCCTGAATAAATGATACAGTTTGTTCACAGTCTACTTTCCTGTCACATATATTTGTCTGCTTCTCACAGGTAAAATTCACTACATGATGAGTGACATCCCAAATATCAAACCATGGCATCAGACTTGTTGTATAGGTGTACTCACACCACTACAGCCATAGGGAGCTATGACGTTTATTGGAAGACTTGATGTCAGTAGCAAGTACACATGCTCCCCTCAACTCTTGTTCCCCTGGATGCTACTTGTGCTTCATCGGGCTCCACAACAGGGTTCAGGCCAAGGTCTCCAGGAAGTGGCATCTCCTCAGACCACAAGGTGCTCCTGCTGTGGACACCAGCCAGGCTCGGCTGTGCCAGGAGGGAGGATGGGCTGGGGCAGGGACGAGTGGACAGAGTGCCCGGGGAGCCATGTGCCCTAGAGCAGTGGTCAGCAAACTGCGGCTCGCGAGCCACATGCAGCTCTTTGGCCCCTTGAGTTTGGCTCTTCCACAAAATACCACATGCGGGCGCGCACATACAGTACGATTGAAACTTCGTGGCCCATGCGCAGAAGTCGGTATTTTGTGGAAGAGCCACACTCAAGGGGCCAAAGAGCCGCATGTGGCTCGCGAGCCGCAGTTGCTGGCCACTGCTAAAGTAATGATATGACTGACATCAGCCAAATGGCAAGTTAGGAAGCTCCAAGCCCTCGATTCCCCGTGGAAACATGGAAAACACCAGAAACTGGCTGGACAAAGTTATAGGAGCTCTGGCAAAGCCAAAAGTTCGTAGCCACCAAGCAAATACTCCATTAAGAAAAAGTACTTTCCAAACTGTAAGGATCTGTGGTGTTTTTACTTGCTCTTGCCCCACCCTCTCCCCTAAACAGAGCTCTTGGTCTGCAGCAAGTACCAGATTAATTCTCAATTCTCTCTATGCAACGATAAACAAAGATGACAAACCTTTAACCAACTGACTGTCAATAAAATGAGAGACAAGTCAAATTACCAAAATCAGAACAACCTGGAGCCAGAACCACATATTTTGTAGAAAGAAAAACAATTGTAAGAAAATACTAAAAAATTTACATATATAGGAAACTGACAAGTTATTAGAAACACACGAACTATAAAAACTGAAATTAGAATAGCTATTATTTTTACAAAAGAAAATAAGTATTAATAAGCATGTAGAAAAATTGGAACACTTATGCATTGCCATTGGGAATGTAAAATAGTAAATTTTCTATGAAAACAGTATAGTGGTTCCTCAAAAAGTTAAACGTAAAATTATCATAGGATCCAGCAATCCTACTTCTGGCTATCCACACAAAAGCATTGAGCACAGTGACTTAAACATATATCTGTACACCAATATTCATAGCAGCATTGATGACAATATCCAAAAGACAGAATCATCCCAAATGGCCTTCAGTAGCAAATGGCTAAAGAAAATGCAATATAATATCCAACAGAATATTAAAAAGCTTTTAAAAGGAATTAAATTCTAAT